ACAGTGGTTGCCTAGCATGTGATGAGTAATTTACATATTTGCAGGTTTTTTTTTTGTTGGGCATTATGCTGTACTGCACTAGCTGGAATGGGCTATTTCCAGTCGTGAATTGATTGAAATAAACTTTCGTATAACTTTCTAGAATCATCTCCATTCGAAGAACTGTATGGCAGATAGCACTTAGCAATGGGTATAGCCTGCATAGCAAGCGTTTCCGCGCGAGTTCGACTGGAAACGCTTGATACGCAGGCTACAATGGGTCTGAAAATGAAGAAGTGGCTGACTAATTCTCATTCTGAATTACGAGAAGAATCTTAATTCTTTTAAAAAATCCATCGAGCGGTTTAAATTATTCGATAATTTGTTAAAGTAGACCAAAATGTTTACACTGTGAACCGCTAACAAGAGTGTCTCGATACATACTAATCAACCCTTCTTTCGATTCTAGCAATCAAGCAGAGCTATCTCCACGATCTTTCACACATGTTTTTAAAACGATTAAGACTACTATGAGGTGAAACTGCAGGTCAAAAGCGCTTCGTTTTCTACAGATAACGGCCAAAAATCAAGATTTTCCTTTTCTTACCGTATTTCTAATAATAAAAACTTCATTCCAAAATATCTCGATGACGCTCTTAAGGTTTTGCTCAAACTTGACGAACATCGAGGCGACCGTATTGGCGAAAAAAGCTCCTGTGAACGATTTTGTAAGGTTCCCGTGCCAAGAATCATAGGTAATGGAGTTATTTCGTTGCTATGACAACTCCGATGTCATTGCAACCCTGATGATGACAAATTTTCATCTTAATACAACTGTGGTCGCAATTTTTCCAAATGTTTGTTTATGGCGACGTAGTTTATGCTCAGACTTGGTATTGCCCCTGGAAAACTGTATCGAGCCACCTTCATATGCCAGGACGGCCTATGTTGTTGCAATATGGCCCTCATTTCTTTTCGACTCTTTCGTAAAAATCTGGGCAACTTGCGAGATTTTTTTGGGCAAATGATTTACCGCCCACCCTGGCAAAAAATTTCCCGTACGCCTATGCTTGCAATATCCAATCTTTCCGTCTCAAGCCCGGGATCATGCAGTCTTTCACCCGTGTAGCCCGAAATGAGACGAAATACCAGAAGATATTGAAGGCAGCAGACTTTGCCTGACGTGAGAATTGTTCCTTCATAAGGCTTAATGATGCCTTCCGGAAAACGTTGCTCAAGGTAGCTAAAAAAAACTATAAGACAACCCACTATGAGAGCCGAGTTCAGTCTAATACGCGCGCTGATTTCAAAACTGACATACAGAGAGAATTATGGAAGTCGCGAAAAAAAATGTTTTTTGAGGGGGGGGGTGGGTAATACGTTAATAGCCAGCGAGAAATCGACAGCGGCCTATCCAGTACCGATTAAATAAATAAAAAGTAACTATGGAAAAAAAAAAAACATGCTCCACTACAAGGCTCAGTCAGAGGGTATATAAGAGAGATTTCTGTAGCCATGTTTTAGCAAATCCAGACAGATAATTCATGTGTTATCACAAAGAGCAACTTATTTCGTCATAGATCGCTTTAAAGTCGTTTACTGAGGCATATTCTGTACGTGCTACACAAGCTCTTTCGAGTAAGAAAGTAAAGTTTTTAGAGGCCAAATTAAAGCCACACTCAAGAATCTGACCTAAGTCATTATAGACGTAAAGCAGTTGTACTCACTATAAACTGCACAAATCATTTTTACGGCTTAACAGTCCAGTGTAAGGCAAAGGTATTTCTGAAAGACCTAAACTAATGATGAGACGGCCGTTTTTAGGTCCTTAACAATTTACTTGAGAAAGGGTCAAGGATCAGTTGGATTAGTGTAAAACATGTCTATTACTTAATAGACATGTTTTACACTAATCTAATGAAAACTGAAATGAAATGAAAACTTAATACAAATTATATTTTTAACCTGAAATCTTTTGTTCAAAGACCTAGCCAGGTCAGCAAAACAGCGCTTATGTACAAAGTGTTACAATACGAATTAAATTGCAAGTTCAGCTATCGGCTGTTTAAACAGGAAAAGCGCAGTTTATTTGGAAGTTTTCACCTTAAACAAAAACCGATCTAATTTTAAAATTACAAGACAGCAAAACCTTTCATATTCAAAATTCGGTTATCAACTTAATGAAATATATTTTCGCAAATAAATATAACTAAGTTGCAATTAAAACGAGATGCACCTGCACGAAAGGCGTTTCTATGAATAAATGTCGTCCGGTAGTGAAAATCACGAAAAATAGTCTAAAGTCAAATAAACCATTATTAAGAAATTAAGTATTCTTTCACGAGTCAACATTGACGTAAGAAGTATATAATTGAGAAGAGAACGAGCAATTAGTTTTGTTTGTTGAGGAACACTGTTGGTTTTTTTGTGATTATTACATTATTACCTAGCGAACACAGAACAAATGAAACAAAGGATAATAAAAATGGCAGGAGCCTTTTTGCGGAGCTGAAATTCAGTA